GATGAAGCATGGCTGTGGGTGGAGAAGAGTCGGCGAGGGTACTGGTGGGGGAAAGAGGGTGGAGGCAGGATATGGAATGGTGGGCGGGACAACAGGGTTGGGGAGTTCAACATGATCGCCCAGTAATACTCAACTGTGTGGTGCTGTCATGCTCAAACTCGGCACAGCCATGCCTCCCCTCCCCACATACACACACAAGACTGAGTCATAAGCAAGTGTTGTGAAGCGTGAGGTCACCATTTGTGTCACGCAGCGGGATGATCCTCATCTGTTACCGCAGGAATTATATCCTTCAAAAGAGCAGGGACGCACCACCACCATCATCAGTACAACAGACAAGCAGCAACAACTACAAAACAGGGAAGAAAACTGAAAATGAGTGTCCTGGGACCAAAATGTCCTTTAGTGCTCTATGTAATAAAGATTATTCGTTTCCCTTGCCACAAGACACACTGAGGGCCAGGAGCTTACACAAGCAAATGGTTGTGGGTAAGGTGTGTGCCTGCTAAAAACACACGTATACACGTTATCACTGCATGTGTCTTACATACAACTTGTCAGCATCACCATACCACTTCCACTATTTGTGTGGCTACCCAAAGTCTACAGAGAATCGTCTCAAAGTAATCCAAGTAACAAGCCCCACTGAGAAAACCAGGAGCACCCGCCAGCAGGTGGGTGTGGGTAAGGAGTATGCCTACCACAATTTACAGAGAATGAAGGAATGAAGGAACAAGATCGAAGAAAGACAGATCTAGCAGGAAGAACAAGGCAGCACAGTGAGAAAATGAAACGATACGGTAAATCCACATCTTAAAAACTTCCTAGTTATTTGGAGCAAGAGCAAATCACAAAAAAGTAGGCGAAAGCTAAGAACGAGAACGCTTCAGCCGCAATAATACTCATCAATAGTCATCTTGCACATTATTACAGTACTCTGTGTCAAATTCACAGCATTTGGGCTCATGGTACATGGGGTTAGAGTCTGAAAGATCACCTGAGATTTGTACGTATCTGTTGTTGAGAGTTGGGGCCGTTTTTCTAGGCGGTTAAAAATGGGCAATAATGTGAAAGAACTGCAAGAGGTGGCTAGTGGGAGCCTTTGTATGGGCGTGAGCGTGTATTACTATTCTCTCTCCGCTCCGCACGTTCCCCAATCTACGTGACTCAGTCCTAATTTATGACGCTGCCAGACCGAAAACTGAAGACCGTCTCCAATTTCCCAACACTAACAATACCCACCATCGCCAACAACGCTTCACCATAGCCAACAGCACACACTATCGCCAACAACACCCCATCATTCCCAATAACATCTCACTAGCTAAGCTTCACGGCTCCTAACCCCCCCCCCCCCCAACAGCTAGAAGCAGCAATTCCAACCCTTTCCAAATAACTATGTAGCTCGCAGCAAAACCCCATAATAATAACCAGAGGATCCTACCTGGCCGGATCCCTGCTGCTGCTGCCGCGCCACAACAGCAGCTAATAAGCCTCAATTATGACTACAGCTCACCAGGTGTACCATGCAACCTTTACCCGAAACTGCAAGACTGTCCCAGCTGCCTCAGCCACAGGACAGCTGTTGAATTGGCGTGTGTCCCCAGACCACAGGTAGCGAGCACCCCAGCGAGTACTGAGTTAGTGGTGAACACCCTCAGTGGGGAGCACCATCGAATACTGCGTTGGTGGGAACACCCTCTGCGAAACTTGCGCGTGTGTGCGTTGCTGATGCACATTCTCAGCTAACATAATACTGACGCAAACACTTTAGGACAACTGTTCCCTTACACAATAAAAATGCTAGTTTTTGAGTTACTTACTATGTTATCACTAGGTTGAGAGAGGTAGCAGCAAGCGCTGGTTGTCGTCTTAAGTACTGACATTTACAAAAGTTAATAAATGGCAGGTAAATCATGGAAATAAACTCTGAATGCACTTTCTGTACCCGGTTTCCATCTGCATCCTCGTATTTTTCTCGTACTTAGTATATATTGCGTAGTTTCACTTGATTATTGATGGTAATTAAGCAATTTGTAATCTCAGCAATTAAATTAACTCAACAATAAAATCTACTAAAAGTAAAACTGCAGGGTGTGTACTCGGTTTCAATCCGTCCATTGCCCTTTGGTAATGTTTCGCCAACATTCATTTCCCGGATACGACTAATAGGCTATCGCATCCCCGATAAATGTATGTTGTTCTCGCAGCCTGCATGGCAGTGCCTTACGTAATACCTGCCTCCATACACAACCTCTTAAGCATAAAAACAAATGTAATCACGCCTGTCAGACCCCCCCCCCCAACACGCGAGAAAAAATCCATCTGTTTTCTTCCCATGTCTGAATAAGTTATTATCCAGGTGTGCTGAGACTAAATTGCATTTAGCAGTATTCCCGAATCACATAGTATATACGAGATGTGTTTACCTCTGAATATATCAAAGAATGTACTCTAATCTCTACTTTAGGAACACAAAGGGTTGACGCCATGTGGAACTCGGCGCGCGCTGCTCAGTTTGATGTAAATGTTATGTGGTGAGCACGTGTGGCCAAGGTCACTACAATGTCCACCTCTCACACGACCACTTCACTTCCAGCAAAACCGGGAAACAGTTATTACCACTTCTCCTCCGACTGATATTTTCGTAAAATTTCTCTCACAATATGTTAAGGGAAATTAGCCTTGAGAAAGCTTGCGATATTTTTTTTTTCACATTCAATGGGAAACACAGAAGATCAAAATGAAAGCAGAGAAGTGACGTAAGTGGTTAAAATATAAAATTCAAGATAAAATATGAACAGGCCTGGCTTAGACTGCAGATGTAAATAAAGTTTTTTTTTTTTTAAACTCAAGCATAAAAAGTGGTATAAATATTAGGGAAAACAGTATAAAAATCATATTCACAATCCTAAGATCAGCAGTGAAGTGTTAATAAGATAAAAGAAACAGAAAAAAAACATCGTTGCTAGTCAATCTGGCACCTGCACTAATTCGGTTAATGTGGTATGTGTTCTATGTGCTCGAACCCCATATATATATATTTTTTTTTTTTCAACAAGTCGGTCGTCTCCCACCGAGGCAGGGTGACTCAAAAAAAAGAAAGAAAATCCCCAAAAAGAAAATACTTTCATCATCATTCAACACTTTCACCACACTCACACATTATCACTGCTTTTGCAGAGGTGCTCAGAATATAACAGCTTAGAAGCATATACGTATAGAGATACACAACATATCCCTCCAAACTGCCAATATCCCAAACCCCCCCTTTAAAAATGCAGGCATTGTACTTCCCATTCCAGGATCAAGTCCGACTATATGAAAATAACCCGGTTTCCCTGAATCCCTTCACTAAATATTACCCTGCTCACACTCCAACAGATCGTCAGGTCCCAAGTATCATTCGTCTCCATTCACTCCTATCTAACACGCTCATGCACGCTTGCTGGAAGTCCAAGCCCCTCACCCACAAAACCTCCTTTACCCCTCTTTCCAACCCTTTCGAGGACGACCCCTACCCCTCTTTCCTTCCCCTATAGATTTATATGCTTTCCATGTCATTCTACTTTGATCCATTCTCTCTAAATGACCAAACCACCTCAACAACCCCTCTTCTGCCCTCTGACTAATGTTTTTATTAACTCCACACCTTCTCCTAATTTCCACACTCCGAATTTTCTGCATAATATTTACACCACACATTGCCCTTAGACAGGACATCTCCACTGCCTCCAAAACCGTCTCCTCGCTGCTGCATTTACCACCCAAGCTTCACATCCATATAAGAGTGTTGGTACTACTATACTTTCATACATTCCCTTCTTTGCCTCCATAGATAACGTTTTTTGACTCCACATATACCTCAACGCACCACTCACCTTTTTTCCCTCATCAATTCTATGATTAACCTCATCCTTCATAAATCCATCCGCCGACACGTCAACTCCCAAGTATCTGAAAACATTCACTTCTTCCATACTCCTCCTCCCAATTTGATATCCAATTTTTCTTTATCTAAATCATTTGATACCCTCATCACCTTACTCTTTTCTATGTTCACTTTCAACTTTCTACCTTTACACACATTCTCAAACTCATCCACTAACCTTTGCAATTTTTCTTTAGAATCTCCCATAAGCACAGTATCATCAGCAAAAAGTAACTGTGTCAATTCCCATTTTAAATTTGATTCCCCATAATTTAATCCCATATATATATATATATATATATATATATTATATATATATATATATATATATATATATATATATATATATTTATATTTTATATATATATATATATATATATATATATATATATATATATTTATATATATATAATATATATTATATATTATAAATATATATATATTATATATATATATAATATATATATATATATATATATATATATATATATATATATATATATATTTATATTATATATATATATATATATATATATATAATATATATATATATATATATATATATATATATATATATATATATATATATATATGTCGTGCGAATATGTAAAACTGGTCAATTAGTAAGAACTCATTTAAAATTAAGTCCTTTCTAAAATTTTCTCTTATACGTTTAAAGATATATATTTTTCATTTATGTTAATGAAAAAAAAATTAATTTTGCTCCAAAAGAATCTTAGAAAACTTACCTAACCTTATTATAACAAGAGCAATTTATTTTAGTCTAACCTAACTAAATATATTTTAGATTTGTTTACAATAATTTAATACTAAACAAGCACAGTTAAATATATTTTTTCGTTAGGTTCAGAATGATTTTGGCGACATTATTGCATACACAAATTTTCACTTGTCCTATATGCAAAGAGGAGCGTTGCTATTTAAGCCAAGATCGCAAGTTCTGCCTATTCGGCACGACATATATATATATATATATATATATATATATATTTTAATATATATATATATAATACATACATACAGAATCTACAAGAACTCAAGTACTCACAGAAGCAGGTTCAGACGTAGACGAACTTGAGTCTGTTGACGTATTAGTAGTGTTGGAGTTGGAGGAGGCGTTGGAAGACCAACTTCTGGAGGAGGTTCGACCGCTGTTAGCTGTGAAGAAGCTATCAGACGAATTGAGACTCAGGCTGTCAGGGCTCAGAACAGCTCCATCTTTAGAGATCTCGATTATTTTCGCGTGTCCTCGAACCCCGGGCAACCTCAGTAAGTTCTTGAGGCTCGACAAGTCACCCTTCAGATACTGTAAGCCGCATTCCTTACGTGTCTTGTCGTTCTTAGGGCTCGACTCATCGTTTCCTAGAGTGGAGACATTTGTCATGCTCGTGCTGGACGTAGATAGCTTCGTGGGTATTGTGGCGACTATTGAGGTAGGGGGACCTTCACTACGTACTGACCTGAAGGAGAGGGCGTCGGGGGCGCGACGAGAACTAAAAGACAAACCTCGTCGGACGCTGGCTTGCGACACGCATGACCAAGTTCCCACCTGGTAGCCGGCCTCTTTTTCCGCCTGGGCATAAGAGGCAGGTACTATGAGGCTATCACAATCTACACTACGCTCGCTATAGGAGTCCCTGAGAGTAAGCCCGGTATCAGAGGGCAATAGGACCTCCACATGGGTACCAGCTCGGGTCTCAGGGCGCACTGCAGTAGGTGATCTTGGTATGTGATGTGCGAGGCTAGAGGAACACCTCTGGGGGCTGGCGTGCTTCAACATGGCGAACT